TAGGTACTAGAGATAAAGGCACATACAAAACAAACAAAATTATTTGCCCTCATGAAACTTATATTTTAGTTGCTAGGGGTAGGGTGGAACTGGGGACACAGACAGATAAACAAATAAATAAGTGGGTTGCCTCAGTTGGTTAAGCATCTGACTCTTGGTTTTGGCTCAGGTCTTGATTTCAGGTCATGAGATGGAGTCTACATTGGACTCTGCACTCGCTATGGAGTCTGCTTGGGATTCTTTCCCTCCTCCCCTCCCTCCCCCCTGCTCATTTTCACTCTCTCTCTCTTTCAAACAAACAAATAAAATCCTTAAAAAATTAATAGGTAAGGGGTATCTGGGTGGGTCAGTCACTTAAGCATCGACTCTTGATTTTGGCCCATGCCATAATCTCAGGGTTGTGGGACTGAACCTCAAGTTAGGCTCCATGCTCAATGGGGAGTCTGCTCAAGATTCTCTCTCTCTGCTCCCCCCTCCACCACTTACACTTGTGTGCGTTCTCACTCTCAAAGTAAATAAAATCTTTTAATAAATGAATAAGTAAAATGCACAGTAATTTATTTATAAGTGTTATGGGAAGAATAAAGGATAGAGAATACCAAGGGTGGGGTGGAGAGGGAGGTAGGGAGGGAGCCTAATTTTACCTAGGGTGATGAAGAAAGGCTTATTGCAAAGATATTAATTTAAGCAAAGACCTAAAGGAGGTAAAGTATAAAAGGAGTGAAAATTTGGTAAATAGGCAGTGTTTTCTTCTCCCCACCCTAGGTTTTTTTTTGGGGGGGATATAACTGACATGTAACAAATTGCACAGTGAGGGGTCAACTATGATAATTCAGGCAAAAGATGATGGTAGCTTGAACTAGGGTGGTCATAATAATGAGAAGAGTTCTAGGTTCATTCTGAATGCACAGCCAATGGGCTCTGCTCACAGATCCAATGTAGGGCCAAGAAAAAGAGGGGAGTCAAGAGTTAGCCAGTGATTACTCCCAGTTTTCTGGCCTGTGTCCCTAAGAGGATGGAATTGCCAGTTACTGAGATGGGGAATAATGGGTGAAAAGCAGATTTGGGGATCCCTGGGTGGTGCAGTGGTTTGGCGCCTGCCTTTGGCCCAGGGCGCGATCCTGGAGACCCGGGATCGAATCCCACGTCGGGCTCCCGGTGCATGGAGCCTGCTTCTCCCTCTGCCTGTGTCTCTGCCTCTCTCTCTCTCTCTCTCTCTGTGACTATCATAAATAAATAAAAATTAAAAAAAAAAGAAAAGCAGATTTGGAGGGAGGAGTTTGACATGCTCATTCCACACTTGTGTGCAGCTACTAAGTAGGTACTTTGATGTATAAGGCTGTAGAGAAGAGACTGTGTTTGTTTGCTTGTTTGTTTTACAGCTTTACTAAGGTATAATTGATGTACAATACACTGCACATATTTAAATATTGAACAACATACAACTTAATAAGTTTTGAAATTTTTATTTGTGTTTAAATTTTAAAGCACTGTTGTTTTTATTTGTGTTTAAATTTTAAAGCAACCCAAGTCTCCATTGACAGATGAATGGAGAAGCAAAATGTGTTATGTATGTACAATAGAATATTTTTCAGCCTTCAATACGAAGGAAACTCTGACACGTGCTACCTGGGAATGAACCTTGAGAACGTGCTAAAGTGAAAAAGCCTGTCACAAAAAACAAATACTTTCTGATTGAGTTTATTATTTTTTGAGATTTTATTTATTTGAGAGAGAGAGCAAGTGAGAGAGAGAGAGCAAGAGCATACACACACACAGATCAACAGAGAGAGGGAGAGGGATAGGGAGAAGCAAATTCCCTGCTGAGCAGGGAGCCCAATGCAGAGCTCCATCTCACTACTCCGGGATCATGACCTGAGCCAAAGGCAGTCACTTGACCAACTGAGCCATCCAGGGGCCCCTCTGATTGAGTTATTTGAGGAATTGAAAGCAGTCACAAAGTGCTTGGAGACAGAAAGTAGAATGGTGGTTGGCAGAGGCTGGGGGCAGGTAGGAAGGGAGGGTTATTGTTTGATGGGCACAGAATTTCAGTTTTGCAATGTAAAAAAGCTCTGGAGGTTGGTTGTCCAACAATGTGACTATACTAAACGCTACTGGACTATACACTTAGAAATGGTTAAGATGTTAAATTTTATGTTGTGTTTTTTACCTCAATTTAAAAAATGTAATGCAGCAAAACAGAGTGTGAACAGCAAGGTATTTTTGTTTGGCAAATGCAGATTTTAGTTCATACACAGGCTATATTACTATATTTTAATATCTTTAGGATTGAAATCTATTATTTGTGTCAGTTCAGGTCCTCTAAGCCAAGGTGGAATTAGACTTGTGAAATTTATTTAATGGAGGAAATGCCTGTGGTGGACAAGGAAGATGAAGCTGGATAGGGAGAGTGTTCAGGCCACAGTACAGGTCTCATACTTGGGAAAGAAAAGAGGGAGGATTGGAGAGGAAATTTCTCAGATGATAGCATCTAACAGCATTTCAGCCAGGCTGATGGGGAGTCCCTAAGCCAAAGTTCCCCCTTAGATGAGTCTCTGTAACCACTTCTCACCTGAGGTCACTTCTCCTTCCATACAAAATAGATGACCAGGTACCACTCACAGCTCTGCCCTGTGAAAAGATTTTCCTCCTCTACTGTCTTTCAGAGCCTTCCATGAATGTGGTTGTGATGCAGCCACCCTCCGTGTTGAGCTTGTACTCACATTCCAAACCAGCCCACCTCTAAACCAAGCTCAGGCTTTTTCCTCCTTTTTAGCTGGTTGTGATCCTGTCCCCTCCCTTAATATGGTCATGAGCGTAAATGGGTGTGAGTGTGGTGGATGACAAGTAGGTCTGGACTTCCTGCTCATGTAGCTTACTCATGCTCCCTGGTCCTTCTGGGACTCAATCCTGGACAGAACATTTCCATTTTGCAATGGACTGAAGCTGGGCCTGTCCAACTTTATACCTCGGTGGGTCCAACAGGACTCACATCACGATGAGCAGGGCTGGATGCATGCTTTTTTTTTTTAATTATTTATTTATTCATGAGAGACATAGAGAGAGAGAGGCAGAGAGAGAAGCAGGCTCCATGCAGGGAGCCTGATGTGGGACTTTGTCCTGGGACTCCAGGACCATGCCCTGGGCCAAAGGCTGGTGCTAAACCGCTGAGCCACCTGGGGATCCCCTGGATGCATGCTTGAGCGTTCTGTCCCTATGAGGGTCTAAAACCAGGCCAGGAGCTGGTTTTCAAACCGTGTGAAATATCCTCCTGTGGACTGCATGGTGTTTTTGCAAAATCCCATGTCCTGAATTGTGGTCCCTCAACTAGATCTTACTTTAAGCTTCACACCGCATCTTTCCCTACCATCAATACTTCTAACCTTATGGAACTTGTGTGGACCTGCCGCACAGAGTCCTTTCTGGCCCTCTTGGGGCGGGCATCTATTTGTATCACCTGACATATGAGCATCTTCGGTATCTCTAAACGTGGTCTGCATTGCTCCTAGAGAGGCCTACCAGAGAGAAGAAGGTGATGGCAGGGCTCAGCCTCTCTGCCATCATCTCCAGTAATTCCACTCTGGCCCCAAATCTGCACCCTATGCAAAATAAAAACCCAAATCCAAACCCCCCAAAACAAAAAATCTTTCTCTGGAGTTTAGTAACTGTATGTTGATGCTAAGGTACGTCCCTTATGGGAGGAGGTGGCTGACCTCCACTCTAAGCAGTTTATTATAGCTTGCCTTCTAACCACATGCAGCGCGCACCTGACCGGGAGAAGGCTGCTGCTCACCTTGGCCTTCTTCCATCCCAGGGCCGGCAGACAGAACGCCAGGCTGCCGCCCTGCGGGTCCTTGCGGGGCACACATCAGTGTAGAACCTGACCGTCGGAGCTTCGGGTTCGGCCGGCCAGACCTTGATTCCATTCCTGTGTGGCCGCGGCCAACTCCGCCAAGCTACTGCTCAGTTCCTGATCCGTGAAATGAAGACAGCAATACTAATTTCATAAGACTGTTTTGAGGATTAAATGAGATGATGGCTGTGAAAAACTGTGAGGCGCCACATTGTTGCTCTCGTCACTCCACTTGCAACAGTGGGTTCAGGGGCTCTTTCCCTCACTTAGTCTGAAGCGAGAGCTGGATTCAGGACTGTCAGTTCCTTACGTTCCCCCAGCACAGAATGGGTGACGGGCACGGAGTGGGACACTTGACGGGATGAGCACTGGGTGTTATTCTGTATGTTGGTAAATTGAACACCAATAAAAATTAATTTATAAAAAAAAAAAAAAGAATGGCTGTTTCGGTGCCTATTTAGGGATGTCTCTTGAATTCATACCATTTAATAATCGGTCAGCTTTTCCCTTCTAGGAAGGCAGGATATCGGTGTCCGCGAGAAACTGCAGTTAGTGTGGGTGAAGCGCCAGGGGGTGAGCAGAAATAGAGGCCTCACAGCGAGGCGGGGGAAGGAAGACACTCCGACAAGTCAAATTAACTTTCCGGGTCTGTTTCCTCTATTTGGAGAATAGGCAGAATAATAGATAATGTTACAAGAGCGTTGCAAGGATTTGCCTCAAGCGTGCTTGGCACAGCGCCAACGGCAGAGTAAGTGCGGCGCAAACAGTAGCGGCAGGTAGCGGCGCGGTGACGACGGCTGCTGAAGGAGGGTGGGAGGCCGCTCGCTCCGCGCCGCGCGGAGCCGGCGGAGGCCCCGCCCCTCACGCACGCGTCCGTCCGGTCGCTCCGGCAACGCGCCGCGAGGTGGCCGCCGGCCGCGTGACGCTCGGCCGCTGGCGCTCTGCGCGCTCGGTCTCTCCCGCTTTGGCGAGGCTGCTGGGGCGCAGAGATGACTGATGAGGAGGACTCCGAGACCGCCGTCGTCGAGTTGCAGGGCGGGGAGGAGAACGAGCTGCCGATTATCCAGCTGTGTGAGCTGGTGGAAGAGCTCAGGTAGGCCGGCGGCTCCGGAGGTTCAGAGGTCAACTGTACAACTTCCCCGTCTCACAGAGTATCCGGTTGTAGCAGCGGAGCGGCTGTTACTTCACTATGTCCGTGAACAGTTGAGGTCAGAACTGAGGTAATCTTATTAATAGCTACAGTTTTTGGAATGCGGCATGACGTGCTGTGGGGAAAAAGGTGCTTTGATTCCTCCAGCTTTCCATTGAGCATTTTCCACTGATCTTAAATTTTAGCCCACAGGAATCCCCTCAGTATTATTATCCAATATGCATATATTCATATATATGGTGCACACATAACTTGTATGTTTTAAATACATAAAAGTTAAAAGGGTCAAAATCTTCGCATATACAGGGTAAACGAGGTTTGTCATCCCCAGGTTATTCCGAGCCTTTCCACCATTTATAATACGCTTCTTGTGGATACTTCATCTCTCTGGTGCTGGAAGGAACAGCTGAGAAACATAAACCAAAGCAAACATCCGAAGATTGTGGATATGTGGTAACTTCAAGCATGTAGTAATTCAGAAGGAATTTCATGAATGGGTTCGAAGATACTGGAAAGTGGAATTTGTAGTTTCATCTCAGCAACGATTTTCAACATAATGCCAGTTTTTTCAGTTTCGTGGCTTATTAGACATTTGAAAAAAATCATATTTATTTTTTTTAATTATTTATTTATTCATGAGAGACACACACACACACACACAGAGGCAGAGACACAGGCAGAGGGAGAAGCGGGCTTCATGCAGGGAGCCCAATGTGGGACTCGATCCTGGATCCCGGGACCACGACCAGAGCCGAAGGCAGCCGCCCAACCCCTGAGCCACCCAGGCGTCCCAAAATCAGATATTTAAATAGAACTTACTATGTGCAAGGCACTGTTCTAAAGGCTTTGCCTTTCTTATTGCAACTCTTCATAATAGGCACTGCTACTATTCTCATTTTACAGATGAGGAATTTGAGGTACCAAGCAGTTGAGTGTTTTGCAAAAGGTAAAGGTAGCTGCTAAGTATTAAATACTAGTTATTTGGAGTTTGAACTCTTATAAGTAGAACTTACTCAGGTACCCTCTGTCTTGCAGCTATGGAAACTCTGCTCTCAAAACTGAGACAGAGATGTTTGAGAAATATTATAATAAACTGGAGCCCAGGGATCAGCGACATCCACGATTATCAGAAATTATAATATCAGGAGCCGAATTTGCACAGGTATACTGTGGAGATCTAATAATTCTTTTATTCTCTTTGTCCCTTTAGATACAAGTAGTATTTGTGTATCTGCCTCTGGTGTGTCCTCTTTGGCATATAATTCTCTCCCTATTCTACTTTTGATTCTTCCTTCCCTCCCAAGGTTTTTCTTTCAAGTGAGTGTGAAGGGAATCAGGTTCAATTAATAGTGGATTGACTCTCCCAGAATATCGTAGTTTGTTTGAAATAATTCCTTTAAATTGGGGGACTCGAATGTTTACAGGGCCCAGCTAGCCACCTATAATAGGAGTGAAGTGAACCTGCTGTGGGCATGGAAGCTTTCCTCCCTCATCTAAAAGCCAAACCAGGTGGCCTGGTATTGCCAGAGCTGATTTTACAAGAGAAGCTGAAAATATAGATTATTGTGGTGGAATGTCCCAATTTTCAAATGTGGGTGATTAATTTTTGAAAATATACAACTGGATGTAGATCCATCTTTTGAGAGCCAAACAGTCTCATCTCCAGGCCCGCACATTCCCTGGGCCATCTGCTGGTGACCTTTGGCTTAAATGTGTAGGGAATCAAAATATTTTTGTCTGTTTTTTTTGCTGAACACTGTGCCCCCAGATGCAATTTCTCTTCTGTGTTCAGTTTAAGAAGCATTGAGCTCTGGGCTTCCCCTGACACTGACTTGAATGCTGGTCTATAGTAGGTTCACAGTCCTTCCACAGCCTCAAGACACTTTCCTTTATTTATTTTAAGGTCATTATCAAGAACAGGCCTTTGAATTCTTTAGCACAGGGCCTTAGGCTGACTTCTGAAATAAACATCACCTCATACCTAATATCCCACATCCTTTCATGTTGTGTTTGTTCTCCCTGGCTGTCACTCAGAGTAATTACTAGCAGGTCTGAGTGGTCACTTTGATGCCCAATTTGAGCATAAATTCCTACTTGACAGTGGCTTGGTTTTGCTTTTATTACAGTTCCGAGGCAAGCATAGATCCAAATCCCGTATAGGTATGGACCATGTGATAGGCCTCAGTTGTGACCAAAAATGCGAGCTTGTACAAAGGGAGCTGGAAGACATGAAGGACGAGATCAGGCACATGAGAGCAAATGCCGAACGAGACCTGCAGCATCATGAGGTATACCATTTTCTCTGTGGCTGGTCCTTCCTGGGCTCCCCACTTCCACCTCATCGAGAAGGACTGAGAATATGATCATATAATTGTTATTTTGAAAGAAGCATCAGTAGGAGAAGACAAATTAAACCCGACTTTTAAGGAACTTCCCAGATGCTGGAAGAGACAACAAATTATAAACCTTTTTTCTTTTTTAGATGTATTTATTTTAGAGAGAGGGAGAGTGAGCATGAACAGGAGGGGCAGAGGGAGAGGGAGAGAGAATCTCAAGCAGACTCTGACATGGGCTCCAACCTTGAGGTCATGACCTGACCAAGGGTTGGATGCTTAACTGATTGTGCCACCCAGGTGCCCTTTAACTTTTTTAAATGGAAAATTTCAAAAATTCACACATGTAGAGAGGCTAGCACAATGGACCCCTATGCACTCAACAGCCATATGCAACAGTCATCAACATGTGGCCACCCTTATTTCTTCTGTATCCCTACCAAATTCTCCCTCATGATGGGGCCACTGGGCTATTAGGAAGTGATACCTCAACATATCATTTATACATATTTCCATATATGTCTCTAAGATATGAATTCTTCAAAAAAATAACCACAATAAACAAAAATGCCCTTAAAAATGTATAGTAATTCCTTAATCACATAAGTAATTTAGGATTTAAGTCAATGGGTTAGATGAAAAATCCTTTAAATCATTTTCTGTGTTGGTTATGCATGACCATGGTCCAGGTCTTGTTGGAGACCAACATGGTCAGTTTTCCTCCAGAGAGCAAATATCACTGTTAGTTCAGTTGCCCATGGGATATAGTTGTTGGCTTGCATTAGAGAGCAATATTGAATGAAAAACAGGTATTTCTGTTCTATTTATAAATTTTTCTATTTCTAAACGTGGGCACAGTGACTCACACTCATTGCAGTAGATTCATGTCTTTATTGATGGAATCATCTGTACCACATAAACCTAACCTCCCTCCATCTCTTCCTTGCCTCATGCCCCCCCTCTTTCTTTCTTTTTTTTGTTGTTTGATAAATCCTTTTTTAATTTTTATTTATTTTTTTATTGGAGTTCAGTTTGCCAACATATAGCATAACACCCAGTGCTCATCCCATCAATTGCCCCCCTCAGTGCCCATCACCCAGTCACCCCTCCCCCCACCCACCTCCCTTTCCACCATCCCTTGTTCATTTCCCAGAGTTAGGAGTCTCTCATGTTTCTGTCTCCCTCTCTGATATTTCCCACTCATTTTCTCTCCTTTCCCCTTTATTCCCTTTCACTATTTTTTTATATTCCCCAAATGAATGAGACCATATAATGTTTGTCCTTCTCTGATTGACTTATTTCACTCAGCATGATACCCTCCAGTTCCATCCACATCGAAGCAAATGGTGGGTATTTGTCGTTTCTAATGGCTGAGTAATATTCCATTGTATACACATACCACATCTTCTTTATCCATTCGTCTTTCGATGGACACCAAGGCTCCTTCCACAGTTTGGCTATTGTGGACATTGCTGCTATAAACATTGGGGTGCAGGTGTCCCGGCGTTTCACTGCATCTGTATCTTTGCCCCCCCCCCCTTTCCCAATATACATTGTTGAATTACAACATGTTAACGTGAGCTAGAGTGGCCAGAGAAGACTTTTTGAGGAGGTGGGTTATAGCATGGTATAGGGCTTGGCATGGTCTTGAAGAAGATGAGGAATAAAGCAAAGTACTAGAAAAGAAAGGGACCCCAGATAAGGTGAATGACATGAGCAATGAAGTAGAGGTGGGAATGAACATGGTAAGTCTTGAGACATTGAAGGGGCTGGTGTGTTTGGGGGGCTTTTTGAGGAAATAGGGCCAAGGAGGGCTGTGAGACCTTTAGAGCCAGGCAAGGGAGTTTATCTTTGATGCCTTAGGAAGTAGAACCTCAATGAAGATGGCTGAGCAGGAGAGTGAGTGTTGAAAGTGGCATTTGGGGGGTTGAGGTTCTGGCACGTGAAGACAGTGGGGAGGGCAGGGGCTCCTTCCAGTGAAGGAAGATGCTTTTGCTTCTTGATGCCCAGGGACAAAGCTGGAACTAAGATGATTTGCTCTACAGCTATGGATACCTTTTCTTTCTTTCTTTCTTTCTTTCTTTCTTTCTTTCTTTCTTTCTTTCTTTCTTTCTTTTTCTTTGGACCTCTAATATAATTTTTTTTTTAATATTTCACTTATAAAGGATCCCTGGGTGGCGCAGCGGTTTGGCGCCTGCCTTTGGCCCAGGGTGTGATCCCGGAGACCCGGGATCGAATCCCACGTCGGGCTCCCGGTGCATGGAGCCTGCTTCTCCCTCTGCCTATGTCTCTGCCTCTCTCTCTCTGTGACTATCATAAAAAATAAAAAAATTTAAAAAATTTAAAAAATAAATAAACAGTCCAAATTGGCTTTAAAAAAAATATTTCACTTATAAGTTCATCACCCTCCATGTTACGGATACCTTTTCATTTTATTCTTTCAAATAATGTGTATGCATGTGTTTGCGGTTTCTTATTTAAAGACAATCTCTATGTTGTACCAAATTCAAATGTACAGGTAAGCTAAAGGAGCATTTATATACATCCACAATCTACCTAGAGGTAATTAATGTTGACTTTTGTGTTTATCTCTTAGAGTTTAGATTATTTTTTCAGCATATATGAATGTCTTTATAAAAAGTGTTACATTATTTTGTAAATTGTATTTTGCATTTACAGTCTTTTCGTGTGAATATGTATATATTCATTTATAGCATCTTTTTTCAAATTACTGTAGTATATGTTAAGTGTTGGTCTCCCTAGTGATCTGCCTCTCTAGATGTGACTGTGGCTAATGTTTTGGTGTATACCTTTCCAGATATTTTTTATACCCTATCCTATCCTATCCTATCCTATCCTATCACATTACATTAATGATATAATTTTTAGTGGATAAATAATATTTCAGGCATGGAAATAGATCTGTACAGAGATACTTTAGGCCCTGATTTTGTTCACCCCCTTTTTGTGGATACCCCCCTTTTTTTGAGGCCTGCTTTTGAAAAATCTATTTATTTGAGAGGAAGAGAACGCACAAGAGGTGTGGAGAGTCAGAGGGAGAGGGAGAAGCAGACTGCCCACTGAGCAGGGAGCCCCACACGGGCTCAATCCCAGGACCCTGAGGTCATGACCTGAGCCGAAGGTAGATGCTCTACTGACTGAGCCACCCAGGCACCTGAGACCTGCTTTTTAATAATAACATTCATGTAGTCAAATTTGTATCTTATGGATACATTTCTAAGGCCAAGAAGAAACATTTTGTATTAGGGCACAAAGAGGCCTGAGAACTTAGGTTTCCTTAGAGGGAGATACCTTGAAGATTTTTGGAAACTGTACTTTCTTTGTGCTTACTCCTTCAGGCTATCATTGAGGAAGCTGAAATCCGATGGACTGAAGTTCAGAGAGCAGTGCATGAGTTTAAAAAAGATATTCTCAAAACCATATCCAAGAAGAAAGGGAGTATTTTGGCCACTCAGAAAGTGATGAAGTACATTGAGGACATGAACCACCGGAGGGTGAGTTGGCAGGAGGCTGGAGCTTAGATGGGAGAATAGATTCACAGAATGAAGACATAAAAATGACCCATGTGCAGCAGTCACCCTCCATTTGGTCCACCAAAAATGTCCACATGTGCAGATTTATTGCATCCCCCAAATTGTATGTCTTAAAAAAGTGCAAGCTTATCAAGGCTAAAATCAATCAGGCTGGATGAATATTAGTAGTATCTCAGACCGATTTTTAAAATTTATTTATTTATTTATTTGAGGGAGAGCATGAGCAGGGAGAGGGACATAGGGAGAAGCAGACTCCCGCTGAGTAGGGAGCCCTATGCGATGTGGGGCTCAATCCCAGGACCCCGGGATCATGACCTGAGCCAAAGGCAGACACTTAACCCATTGAGCCACCTCAGACTGATTTTTTTTTTCTTTTTTATCGTTGCTATTTGTTTCAAGATCTGATATCTTTTCTAGAGAAAAGCGATATAGATCTTTCTAGTCAGGTGACTGCATGGAGGAGGACAGGTAAATTCCAATCTCTTCAAATTCCATTATTACAACAATGAGACATAAAATGCTCCTAAACTTCCAAAGATTTTGTAGCATGTCAAGCTTTGGATCCTGAACATAGGTAGAACTACTAACCCTAGCCTGTTATAAGTGATAAAAATTATATAAACTACCAAGAGAATAGAAGACCGAAGAATCATAAGATCATTTTGTCAGGAATAGCCCCATATCCAAATTATATATCTAAATGATCTCGAATTTAAAAATAATAGAAGATTTGCAGGAGCAGACCCAGTTACTTCTGCTTCTTGGTCACGAGTGAAGTGTTACTGCTTGGGTAAATGTAAAAAGACCTAAAAATAAGTGACTGAATGTTAGAGGACTTAAGATTTGGGGTGTAGCCCTAGACTTTTCAAACCAACAGAGAAGACGAAGAGAAGTGGATTAAAATTTACTTGTATTTTTTAGGATAATATGAAGGATAAATTACGTTTGAAAAATGTTTCTCTCAAAGTACAGAGGAAAAAGATGCTTTTACAATTGAGGCAGGTATGTGTCTCGCTCTTTCTTTCTTTTCTCTCTTTCTTTCTTTTTTTTTAAGGTTACTGTTGAAGGTAGAACAATGCATTCCCAAAGATGTTGATGTCCTAATCCTTGGAATCTGAATCTGTTACCTCACATTGCGAAAGGATTTTGCAAGGGTAATTAAGTTAAGGATCTTGAGATGATCTTGAAATAATCTCCCCTTGACTCTAAGGGAGATTATCTTGGATTATCTGAGTGGGTCCAATATCATCCCAAAAGCCCTTGTAGGAAGGAGGAAGGAGGGAGAGTTGGGATCCTGGAACAGAGATCAGAGTGATGAACTTCTAAGGTACAGGAAGGGGTCATGAACAAAAGAGTGTGGGCAGCCTCTAGAAGCTGGGAAAGGCAAGGAGACAGATTCTCTTCTAGGGCCTCCAGAAGGAACGCAGCTCTGCCAACACCTTAATTTTAGCCCCAAGAATGATTTTTGGACATCTGACTTCATGAGCCATAAGATAATAGATTTTTGTTTTCAGCCACTGAGTTTGTGGTAATTTGTCACAGCAGTGAAAGGAAACACACAGTTACGGTGCCGGCAAATCTGTAGATGTAGTTGGCTTGTATTTAAAAGACCCTTGTGAGACAGAACATGAGAGACTCCTAACTCTGGGAAATGAACTAGGGAGTGGAAGGGGAGGTGGGCAGGGGGTGGGGGTGACCGGGTGACGGGCACTGAGGGGGGCACTTGATGGGATGAAACTGGATGTTATTCTATATGTTGGCAAATTGAACACCAATAAAAAATAAATTTATATAAAAAATAAATAAATAAAAGACCCTTGTGATGTACTTATTGACGTTTTTTGGTGAGCCTGGCCTGGGTGGCACAGTTATAGGGTGCTTTGGTTGCCTTTGCAGCAGACTAAAGGCTCCTGAAGAAAGGTAGTAAGGCAGACTCGGCACAGGGCCTCTCAAATGTGATTACATGGCTCATCCTCTCCTAGCTCCAATTTTTTTCATTAACTTGAATATGGGCACTGATGTCTTGTATATTAGAGGTTGGCAACTGACAGTGACACAGAGTTGTGCAGGAGAATTAATGTGTCTGGAATTATTGCCTGATTGACTTGGGATCCCAAAAGGCATCAAGCTGGGACAGCTATAACATCATGGAGTAACTGAGGACAAAGTAAGCTTCTCTCTTTCAATCCACCAGGACATCTGCACAGGTGCCAGATGGCTTAACCGTAGGGTACCTGATAAAGTCAGCTCAGCTGGAAGTGATGCTACGGCCTGGGTTGCACCCCGAGAACCACAGTGCCCCACCAAGAAAGGGTTGGGCTTATTGTCTTGTTCTGAGCAGCCCTACCTGGAGTGCTGTGTCTCAGTGAGAGCTGCATTCTTGCAAGAATTGGTAACTCAGAGCTCACACAGGAGAGGGAGCTGGAGAGCAAGGGGAACAGAGAGCCCATCAGATGACCTGGGGCTGAGGGACCCAAGAAGACTCAGGAGGGCCCAGGGCAGCTATGGAGAGGAGAAAATGCACTGCCTTGGAGGTCCCCAGCAGGAGCAAAGGCTGGAGGGACGGTGTCCCCTGTCACTGAAGGAGATTTGAAATAATGAGGTTTGTGTAAGAAAGGAGAGAGGAGCTGCCTCCACAGAGAGAGTTCCTGGTACTCCAGGCTTTGTGCAAGCTCAGGCATCATGAGGAGGGGATTTAAGTGTGAGAGAGGGAGGAGATGGATGACTTTTAGCCCGAAAGCCAGTGCCACACAGAGCTGCCACCGAGGTGGTCCTGTCCTCAGGAGCTCACATACTAGTGGCGCATGGGGATGGTAGCAAAAGGCAGGATGTGGAACTGCTATCCAGACGCAACAACAGCAGGGACCACAGAGCTGCAGGGACCACAGAGCTGCAGCAGGGGTTCTCCTGGTGTGGAAGATGGATTAGGAGTGTTTGAGCTGGAGGATGGGTCATCGCTGGGGCCTAAGGAAATTGGTGTGTTGGTTTAGGGGAAAGGGAAAAAGCCTCCTTAGAGGTATTGCGTGGGTAGAGTGTGGGGGTGAGGAACAATTCCTGGGTTCAGCTGTTGCCTACCACCAGTGTAAGATGGCCTGGCCTGGTGCAGCAGAGAAGGCAGGCCAGGTTGTGGAGGGAACCCAATACACCGATACAACTACAGTACAGAAGTGTCATGTGATCACAGGATGGGAATTTATGGGCTGCTGGTCCTGGCCTTTTCAGGGTAAAAACAACTTTTATACAAGTCTCCTTTCATAGCCCTGTTTAGACACTACCTCTTGTGGGAAGTCTTCTCTGACTGAGCCTCCCATTCTTCTCTGGCCTGGCTGAGCGGCTTCCGTGTGCCCTCTGCCCCTCTTACTACACCACACTGCAACCTGTCTGAACCCTGGGTGAATATGTGCTCCTTGAGGCCGGGGACTATTGTATTTATTCAGATTTCTATCCCAGTGTCCTGCGCCAAGCAGATCCCCAGTCCATGTTTGTTGAATGACTGTGACTGAATGATGACCAACTTTCAGAATCTCATCCAGAACTACCAGGTAGTAGTCAGATTCAGAAGTCACAGCCTCACGTTATTTCTTTCTTCTTTCTGAGCTGTAGAAGGAAGAGGTAGGCGAGGCCCTCCATGATGTTGATTTTCAGCAGCTGAAGATCGAGAATGCTCAGTTTTTAGAGACAATTGAAGCAAAGAATCAAGAACTGATCCAGCTAAAGCTGGCATCTGGAAACACCCTGCAGGTCCTCAATGCATACAAAGTAAGGTCTTCCCTGATGGCCGGGTCCCTGAGGCCTTTCACACTTACCATTCCAGCCACAACAAGGTTCCTGTGCACCATTGCACTTCTACGTAAGGGCTTGGCAGTCCCTCAGTTTATCATTGCTCCCTGATTTCTCTTGACAGAGCCATTCTCCTCAGATACCCTGAATGTTCTCACACCCCTTCTTGTGCAATGCAACCACCCAGAGAGCTTTTGTTTTTTTAAAAAAATATACAGGGCAGCCCGGGTGGCCCAGCGGTTTAGCGCTGCTTTCAGCCCAGTGTGATCCTGGAGTCCCGGGATCGAGTCCTATGTTGGGCTCCCTGCATGGAGCCTGCTTCTCCCTCTGCCTGTGTCTCTGCCTCTCTCTCTCTTTCTCTCTCTGTGTCTCTCATAAATAAATAAAATCTTAAAAAAATAAAATAAATAAAAAATAAGAAAATATACAAACACCCTGACCAGTTGAATTAGGAGGTGAAAGCCATGCATCTATTTCTCTTAATGCCCCCAATGATTTTTATGCACAGTGAGTTTTGAGAACTAACCACATTCAGGATCCTGTTTAATTTAAGCCTGGAATAAGCACTTCGCTGCTTACAACCCTCCAGAAGAAAACTTTCTTAGCTAAAAATCAGAAAACTAACATATAATTCCTTATCTGCCCAGAACCGTTTTGGGAGTGAAAGAGATACTATTAATAATGAAGTGGGAACGATAGCCTGAATGTCCAGCCGCCCTGCTAGCAATTGTCTGAAGTAGTAGTCAACTACTGTGGGCCGGTGTATCCTGCCCACCCACGTGGCCTGTGAGCTAAGAATGGTTTTTACAGAAGGATATTTGTAACTGACTACATGGAGAATGCTACCTTTGAAACCCATTAAGCAAAATTGGTTTCTTCCCTGGAAATTCCATTCTTCTTAATAGACCTATATTCCAAAATGTACTTAATGATTATATTTTGAATTTCATCAATAAAACATTTGTGGAAATTTGTTTTTTCTTTTGTTAATATAAGCAATTACATAATATGCTCAATTTTGCCTCTTGGCCAGCAAAGCCTAAATATTTGCTATCTGGCCTTTTACAGAGCAAGGTGGCTGACCTCTGGCCTAGTGCCTGCTTGACAATGGTGGCTATAGGCTTAGGTAACTCACAGGTGGTCTTCATTTGGCCAACACAGTGTCATTTTAAAATATAAATTTGTAAATAAATAAATAAAATATAAATTTGTAAGTGTTTAAATTAGACTATGTTTGTCGAACATTTTCCTCTTAAAATTAAAAACATGAGGACCAAAGAGAGTAATTGCCAGCTTCAAGCAACAAGTTTGTGCAGGGCTGGAGCACCTAGTCCAGTGTGTGTCCTACCTAACCCAACTGCCTCTCCCTGGCTTAAAGCATGTAGACAACATTATGCTGGCATTTTGAAACTTGTGTCATCCGTCTGCAACAGATCATCCACTTTGATCTTATCTCATCAGTAGTGAGCTTATCTGATCACTGTCATTTCAAGATGAAGCCAATCCATGTGACTCCTGAGCCCTCGTTGGCTAGAGAGCTGGGTGGTACGTGGCTACATCACATTGGATCTTGATGGTATTCTGTGGAATCAACTTAAGTAGCACAGAGCCTGTCTGGCCTTGTGTAGAAAAGTCAGCGGTTTGGAGTGGAACTACTGGTTTATAAAATGAAACTGCCAAGTCCAGGGTCTGAGGTCTCTAGGACAGGTCTAAATGCAGAGGATCCATTGTTTGCGATACCCAGGCAACAGCAACACAGGCCACAGTGGGTGAAATGGGAGCTCTTCCAGTTAGAATTATAGGGGCCATCATGCCTGTAGGCCTGTTTCAAATAATAGTAAGTAGATGGGGGAGCTTGGGAGGAGATGCCCACAGGAGTCCTATGGTGGACACAGTGATGGGTTGAGGGAGAAGCAGGCTCATTTCTTCTGTGTCTCAGTTCTTAGATCTCCTGGGGGAAGGTGGAACAGCTGTTGAGTTCTGGAGTCAGGCCTCACTTGGGTTTGAATGGGGATTCTACTAGGGACCATCGGTACGGTACTTCACCTCTTAGAGGTAGGCTTTTGTGACTTATCACCAGGATAGAGCTCCGGCTGGTGTGTGCTATATTCCTAGCAAGTGCTCAGCCAGTATTGTCAAATGAACTGCTATCAATTGAGGTGTGTGTTTAGGGGATGGGAAGGTGGCAGGAGGGACCACTTTCATATAAATACCAAACACCCAAGTATAAGACCTTGTGAAAGCATGCAGAATAACTCTTACCGATGTGTTCTTTTCAGCAGTACATATACGGACTGACTTACCAAACATACCCAGGAGCTGTTGCATGCCAGGCTCCAGGCTAAGTGCTGAGGGTATAGGTGTGAAGGAGACAGACAGGGTCTCTTCTGTGAGTTTGGTGCATGAGCTTCAGCCTGAGGGGCACCTTTTCTCTGACTTCATGCCATCAAGCCCTGCCCGGTAGAGTCTGGTAGAACATAAGCATGTGATGACAGCTGTGATGTGTCATTCCTAACTGACTGTAAACCAGCAATCCCCCTGTGGTAGGTAGAATTCCAAGATGTCCCCCAAGACTCCCTACCCCTTGGCGTATATACCCAGTGCAATCTCCAAGGCTTTGGGGTACGATGAGTTCTATGATTCAGTTCTGTTCTATGGTTATGTAATATGATATACCACAGTTGACCTTAAGATAGAGAGATTATTGGATGGTCCTGAGCCAATCATATGAGCCTTTGAAGGCAGAGAGTTCTGTCTAGAAGAAGAAGTCAGGGATTTGAAGCACGGAGGGAATTGTCTGGGTGAGAAGTTCTTCACCACTGGCTTGAAGATAGAAGAACCTCAAAATGCTGAGGGCTATGCTCACAGCTAGAAAGAAACAGATGGCAGTCTTACAAGTTCAAGGAAAATGCGTTCTGCCATCAGTCTCTGAGCTTGGAAGAGGACCTCAGATCCAGATGAAAGCCAGCCCTGGCCAACATCTCGACTTCACCCCAGGGGACCCTACCTGGGCGGAGAATCCAGCCTCACCATGCCTGGACTTCTGACCTATGGAAACTGAGATAATAAATGGGTGTTGCTTCACGCCACAGAATTTGTGGTGATTTGTTAACACAGCAAGAGAAAGCTATAAAGTGCCCTTTCGGAAAAGCTAAAGTGGCCCATGTCCTGCTCAGAATCACAAATAGCTCTCCTCACATGTTTTTGAGGGCCCTGCCCAGTGGAGCCAGTGATGGCCTAGCAGTAGCCTTTGCAGTTCCATTCTTTCCTGCCCTGTCTCTGCATGGTGGGGGTAATGCCTTCCCTCCACTCTCTCTTCCTCCCCCACTGACTTTCTGGTTTGCGGTGGAGTCCTGCGCTGCCTCCCCTTCCCCTAGCACACCTCCCCTCAGTCTGGTCTCCCCCCATGGGGCTTTCCTAAGCAGAGTGATGTCGTGCAGGATGTGGAGCAGGAAATAAGCCTTAGGGGAGGGAGGATTGGCAAGAAGGGGAATGGGGGGTAGGGGTCATAGTGCCCTAAGGTCCCCAGGCAGCTGGCTCTAGGCTTTTCTGCAAGGTCTAAGATTTGATACCCTGGATGTATTGCGCCAGCACCCACCTCTCCCAGGCTTTTCCTTAGCTTGGCACATTCTCCCTGCCCTCTCACCTAGACAGCCTTTCAGCCTCTACTTGGCAGCCTTTCAGCTCTCTTTCCCTTATGCTTTCCCCCAGGGAAACCTCAACCACTGTGTTCATATTCTTAGCACCGGCACAGCTGCAGTTTTACATTGCTTCTTGCGTCTCTGTCAAGGCTGTGAACCGGCCGCAGGCTGGCAGGGCTGCGGTGTGGCTGTGGTGCTGCTCAGTGACTGATGCAGAGTGAGCATGTTCTCAGAGTTCGTTGAGCCATCCTCCCCTGGAGTCGCTGGCTTCTGTCACTTGGATTACTCTTCAGCCCAGCGCAGTACCTCTCAACTCCTCCAAGCTGAACCTTCTCTGCAGCAAAGGGGACAAATTGGAGAAGCAAGGACTTGTGGGGAGCTGGTGAAGAACAGCATGAGTGATGCAAGGGGAGGCTGCAGGGCAGTTTGTGTAGGACGCCTCCAGGGCCAGTGGGCCCGCCTGAACAAACATTGGAGACGATGGTGGAGCCTGTGGGCCCCGGAGTCAGATCGCCTGGGTGCAGACCCTGGCTGACCTCTTATCTCTATGACCTTGGGCAAGTTGTTTTACCCTCCATAGAGTCAGTTCTTTTCTTTTCTTTCTTTTCTTTCTTTTTTTTCTTTTCTTTTCTTTTCTTTTCTTTTCTTTTCTTTTCTTTTCTTTCTTTTCAGATTTGTTTATTCATGAGAGAGAGAGAGAGTGAGTGAGTGAGACACAGGCAGAGGGAGAAGCAGGAGCCTGACATGGGACTGGATCTGGGGTCTCCAGGATCACGCCCTGGACTGCAGGTGGCACTAAACCACTGTGCCACTGGGGCTGCCCTGGAGAGTCAGTTCTTTTACTTGTAAAGTGGGATGCAGCATCACCTAGCTCATGGGGAGTGTTTCTCTCTTCATCTAGCTTGTATGAGTGTTCTCCACACATCAGGTGCTGTGGTCAGCTCTTTACCACAATTATCCCCCTTAAGTCTCTCCACAGCCCTGTGAGGTGACCAGCCCAAGTTTAGAGAGATTCTGGGACTTGCCTAAAGTTTCTTTTAGTAAGTAGTGGGGCAGGATTTGGGTCGTCCTGGTGCATCTAGCCACCCGGCAGGTTTTTATCTCCCCTACCATGTAGGCACCAGAATGCTGAATACCTGAGCAGCTGTGAGAAGGGCAGGCCCAAGTTCCTGGTTGGTCTTAATAAAGAGCTGTCATCCTGCTTAATAAAGAGCTGACTATCCTTCCTGTAGTTCGGAGTGATCATCTTTGCTCAAGACTTGCTGTGTTGTTATATTTCAGAGCAAGCTATACCAAGCAATGGAAATGTCTGTCAATCTGGACAAGGAGATCTTGCTGAGAAATGAGTTACTTGAAAAAATTGAAAGAGAAACCCTACAAGTAGAGGAGGTAGGAGAGGGTAAAGTGTGTCACTTCTGGTGTTTGCTTCTGTCTACAAAGGCTTGAGCCAATGTACACCAAGATCCAAGCCACCTTGGTTTTTGTCTAGAAAAGTATAGACCATAAAAGTCAAAACAGCTCTGGGCCTTTGAAAGAGGAAATGGCACCTTGAGACTCATAGTCCAGTAGAGTTACATTTTACTGCTAGGTTAGGGTCTAGAATCAGAAATCACATAGAAATGAAATAATCTAGAAATCACGTAGGGTCCAAATAACCCTTCAGAATTCTTTCAGTGACCTGTAAAGTACCATACTCAAAGCGTCATGTATATAATATCACACACAAAAATCTATAATGCATCTAATTGGTATGAGAGGTACACATGCCAAAATACAGCATTCTATGTAAAGGAGAGAGAGAGTTCTTTAAATATGTAATTTTCATTCAGTACAGTGGCTGGTGGGATAACAGACCTTCAGCCTCTGTCCTGAGCCCTCTCTGGGGCCTGTGGTCACTGTGAACAGATGTGTGGCATTATCTGAGCTCCTTACATTTACATTGTGATTTAGTGCTCTCACTACTTTGCTGAACATGTACAGTTGAATATCAGCAAGTTAAGTTGTACAAAGGATGTGACTCAGAGGACTTTTTTTGGAAAGATGGGGGAAAGAGCATAAGCTTTGATGTTGCCAGGTTCTAGCTTTGAATAAGTCTTTTAGTTAGGCCTCAGTTTCTGCATCTATGAAATACATGTCACAGGCCTTGTGCTGAGCCATTAGGACCAGAATAGCGATGCTTTGTCAGCCTCCCAAGCCATTAGTATAGTTATTAGTGGTCTTGTTTTGAATGAGCCTAAGTGTCCCCAGCAGTATGCGTGGCTCCAGACCTGTTCACAATAACTGAAAAGCCACAGGATGACTTCATCTTCAGGTTTGTCATGCATTCACATCATATCCTTGATGGAGAGCCAACACCTGCAAAACAAAACAAAACAAAACAAAACAAAACAAAAATGGTCTCAGTAGAGTGGCCAGTAACAAAGTTAAAGCAAAAGTCTGTGTGCTCTCTCCATGTAGGATTTCTGTGGTATTTGGGTAGATATTTATTAAATTACAAGTGAAGCATGACAGTAGTTTTTAAAAGCCTGGTATTCACTGCTTAGTATATTTTAGGTTTCTTGTGGACTTTTTAAATAGCTCTGTTGGGTTATAATTCACATACCATGTTATTCACCCATTTAAAGTGCACATTTTCATGGTTTATAATATATTCACAGAGTGGTGTAGCCACCCATAAGAAATTCTTGTTTGTTCCCCACCTCACCTCACTCCCACCCTCCAGCCCAGTGACCACTAATCCACTCTCAGTCTCTGATTTTGCCTGTTCTGGACATTTCATTTAAAAGGGACCATACAGTACAATGACGATCACTTTTGTGACTGGCTTAACAATATTTTCAAGATTCATGTTGTAGTATGTGTCAGCACTTTGTTTCTTTTCATGGCTGAGGAATATTTCCTTGTATGGATGTACCACATTTTATCCATTCATCAGTCAAGAGGTTGTTTCCCATGGGTTCTTTTTGGCTGTTATGAATAATGCTGCTATGAACCTTCATGTACAAGTTTTTGTGTGAATATCTGTTTTCTTTTCTCTTGAACATACAGCTAAAAGTAGAATTGTGGGTTATATATGGTGATGCTATGTTTAACATTTAGAAAAACTGCAGAACTGTTTTTTTTTTTAAAGTGGCTGCACAATTTTACATTCCCACCAATATTTGAGGGTCCTAATTTCTGTACATCTTCACCAACACTTGTTATTTTCAGTTTTTGTTCATTTGTCTTTTAATGGCTGTCCTAGAGGGTGTGAAGTGATACTTCACTGTGGTTTAGATTTGAATTTACCTAATGACTAATGACATTGAGCATCCCTTCATTTGCTTTTTGGCCATGTGTGGTTTTTTTTGAGAAATGTCTATTCAAACCCTTAGCCCCTAAATTTTTAATTATTTGTCTTTGTAAGAATTCTTTTTGTATTCTGGATTAAAATACCTTGTCAGATATGTGACTTGCAAATATTTTCTCCCATTCTGTGGGTTTCCTTCTCACTTTCTTAAAGGTACTGTTTACTGGTGAGCTTCAGTCCATCTATTTTTTTCTTTTGCACTTGAGCTTTTGGTGTTGTATCTAAGAAATCATCACAATATCATGAAGATTCAGTCCTATATCCTCTGTTTGAGCTTTATAGATCTTACATTTAGGATTATGATGCATTTTGAGTTAATCTTGTAAATTCTGTGAGGAAGGGGTCCAAAAGCTGAGAGAAGAAAGGAGATGAAGCCTGGGGTTTTGTTTTGTTTTAAGTAGGCTCTACTCTCAGTGTGGAGCCCAATGCAGGGCTTGAACTCATGGCCCTGAGATCAAGACCTGAGTGGAGATCAAGAGATCAAGAGTTGGACACTCAATGGACTGAGCCACCCAGGTGCCCCAGAGATGAAGTATGTTCACAAAGTTTGTTATATTAGCCTTCCTCTTTACCATTGCGTGGTTCTCTCCATTTTTTCCTCTGAATTCAAGTTATCATCTGGTGTTATATCCTTACTTAGATATGGCTTTGTTTCATCCTGCCTTCTTTTAATTGTTATTGTCAAATGTTTTTATATGTCACAGATCCACAGTAGAATTATATATGTGTTGCTTTATGAATTGCTTTTTAAATCAATTAAGAGAAGGAGAATATGCAATTTTACTGTCCCTTATAATTACTTACATAATTACCTTTACTTGTGCTATTTGTTTTCTTCACATGGGTTTAAGTCACTTTCTAGTGTCACTTGTTTTCAGTCTGAAGAACTTCCTGTAGTACTAGCTTGTAAGGCAGGTCTGCTAGCAATGAATTCCTTCAGTCTGTGTTTATCTGGGAATGTCTTCACTCTTTATTAAAAAAATAAAGTTTATTTTATAATTGTTTTAGAAAATGGTGTAGAGTACAGAGTTCCCAAATAATCTCACACCCAATTTTCCCCATAATTAACATCTTACAGTGGAATATTTATTAAAATTGAAAAACCAATATTATTAATTGGCCTTATTATTAATATTTATAATTAATATTATTCATATAGCCTTGGTTTTTACCTGAGGTCCTTTTCCAGGATCTCAACCAAGATAACGCATTACATTCAATGTCACATCTCCTTAGGTTTCTCTTGGCTGTGACAGTTTCTCAAGCTTTACTTGTTGATGACCTTGATAGTTTTGTAAAGTGGTCAAGTATTTTGTAGAATGTTTTTCTATTAGGATTTGCCTTCTGTCTTTCCTGTGTTTAGATTGAGGTTAAATGGTATTCGGGAGGATGATCACAGAAGTGAAGTGCCATGTTCATCGTATCATATCAAGGAAGCATACTGTCAACATGACTTACTACTGGTGATATTAACCTCGATCACCTGCCTGATGTAATATTATAAGGATTTTTCTGCTGTACAGTTATTCTTTCCTCCAATTTTCAGACTCAGCTCTTTGGAAGGATGTTACTATATGCAGCTCACACTTAAAAAGTGGAGAGTTGGGGCAGTCCCAGTGGCTCAGTGGTTTAGGGCCGCCTTCAGCCCAGGGCGTGATCCTGAATCCTGCATGAAGCCTGCTTCTCTCCCTCTGCCTGTGTCTCTGCCTTTCTCTCTGTGTCTCTCATGAATAAATAAATAAAATCTTAAAAAAAAAAGAAGTGGAGAGTTATGAATTGTATGGAATTCTTCTGTCTGGGACATTTGTATATTCTCCATTTATTTTTTAAATAATTTATTTATAGCAGTATCAATTCATAGGCATTAATTTTATTATATGTGCTGTTGAAGTGAGCATGGATATTTTATATGTTGCATTAAAATCGAATATTATTTGTTTCATTACTCATATTGTTTCACCTTAGGCATTGGGAGGTTTTTCAGTTGGCTTCTGTGTCCCTTTGACATATCTCATTTGTGTATGTGTGTGTGTGTGTTTAACACTTTCTTTTCTGGCACTAGAAAATGCTTGAGACTCATCTCATGTATTTCCTGCTCCAGCCCTAGAATTAGCCATTTCTCCAAGCAGTCTTGATTCCTTTTATTTGAGAATATCATTAGAAACCAAGATCTGAGTATGCTCATTGTTTGCTTTCATTTTTGAAAGATAATTTTATCAGATATTGAGATTCTTAATCACTTAATTCACAGTTTCACTTAATTTTAACTTTTAAAAACAATCTGACTGTTTTCTTTCCATTCAACCCTTAGAATGTCATCCCACTGCCTTCTGGCCTCCATTGTTTCTGATGAGAAATCACTTGTTGTTCTTGTTTGGTTTCACCTGAATGTGATGAATTGTGTTTTCTCATTGCTTTCTCTCTCTATATATATATATATTTTTTAATTTTTTTTCCACTGAAGATGGAGCTCTTTATTTTTTTAATAATAAATTTATTTTTTATTGGTGTTCAATTTGCCAACATGCAAAATAACACCCAGTGCTCATCCCGTCAAGTGCCCCCCTCAGTGCCCGCCAACCAGTCACCCCCACCCCCCATCCCTCTCCCCTTCCACCACCCCTAGTTCGTTTCCCAGAGTTAGGAGTCTTCCATGTCTGTCTCCCTTTCTGATATTTCCCACCCATTTCTTCTCCCTTCCTCTCTATTCCCTTTCACTATTATTTATATTCCCCAAATGAGTGAGACCATATAATGTATGTCCTTCTCCGATTGACTTATTTCACTCAGCATAATACCCTCCAGTTCCATCCACGTCGAAGCAAATGGTGGGTATTTGTCATTTCTAATGGCTGAGTAATATTCCATCGTATACATAAACCACATCTTCTTTATCCATTCATCTTTCGATGGACACCGAGGCTCCTTCTACAGTTTGGCTATTGTGGATATTGCTGCTAGAAACATCGGGGTGCAGCTGTCCCGGCATTTCATTGCATCTGTATCTTTGTAGTAAATCCCCAACAGTGCAATTGCTGGG